GTTATGTCATTTCAGGCCAGCTGCTAGGAAATCTTCATTTGAAGAGTTCAGGCAATGTTAATATGAGATGCCACCTTCTGCTGCTGTGGGGAAAAAGACTATCTGCTGTTTTTTAAGAGCAAATAAGGGGAGGCTTACATCAAGGGGCCTCTCATAATTAAACGTTCTTGGATGCAAAGATGACAAGCTTAGCTGAAACATATGTAATGCAGCTGCAGTGTTTACTTGCAATGAATAGGCAAGGGTTGCACAACTATTAGTTTCAGCTACTATAGGGTGATATATAACTCTCTGAGAAAGGAGTGTCACAGGAAATATGACTCTTTAATCATCCACCATGGGAAGGGGTGGGTGATACAGTGCAAATGCTGGCATTTCATACAAAAAAACTGATAGGTGATTACAGTTTTACTAAATATATTTTTATAAGTTATGATTGGGGAGAGGTAGGTAAAATTAAAAATGGGCATAAGAATGAATAAACATATTTATTCTGCTCTTCAAAAAAAAAAAAAGGACTGTTTGATAGATAAGGAAATAGACAAGATTAACAACCAACCCAGAGTTAAATTTACCAAAATAAAACTAACAGGCTTCGGTTAGGGTCAGGCTCTGTTTAGGATACCAAAGGTACAAGAACTGGCAATCAACCCAAATGGCCAGAATGCTGCAGGTACAGATAGTTCTCGACTTACAACCATTCGAAGTTAATGGTGCTGAAAAAATAGACTTACGACTAGTCCCTGAAGTTACAGCTGTTGCAGTGCCCCCACGGTCACATGATCAAAATTGGGGCACTTGTCAGCCCGCCTGCACTTACAACTACAAGGGTGCTTCAACTCCCCCCACCTACCTATCTCGCCCCAATCTCTGCCTTTTTGGCCGCCCTGCACCCTGCCTTGCTTTACCACTGCATCACTTAGCGACGGAAATTCTGGTTCCAATTGTGGTTGTAAGTGAAGGACTACCTTTATATGATAAAAAAATAAACAGATACTGAGAACGAAGATAACAAAGAGTGACAAAGAAGAGAACTTGTACCGAGGAGTAAGCTGTTAGACCAAGACATTCTTATTAGACTTAGTGGACAGCAATAAGTTTGGGGTTAGCTGACTGAATACTCAGAGAGAAAGAAACTAAACTTAAATGGTACGACCAAAGACTAAGCTTGGAATTCCCATCTTGCAATGGAAACAGCACCAGTGGCACAAGATATAGCCTATAACACTGGACACACATTTTTATTAGGGACACATGCAGGAAGAACCCAGCATGACTGCTTAAAGTCTTAACCATTGTGAGAAAGGATACCTTACATTCTAGCTAAAGTGGTAATTGGATGGTTTACCCTGTTTTCCACTGTACCCATGAATTCTTTTAAGACAAAGCAGTGAAACTTCCTCAAATTTTGACTGCAACATGTTCTCAGACACTATTCTTCTGAACTGGCTCCCACCAAAAGATCATTTAGTACATCTGTCTAAGAGGAAATGGGGCATGTAAATAATTACATAGAACATTCATTGCAGCTACAACTGTATCTTTCTCCTGGATCTATATAAAATGGAATCCACACATATTCATTTATTGACTTCACCCTTAAGCTACTGCCAAACTCTGAGCAAATGAAACAGTATTGGATGAGAAAACAGAACTAGGAATGTAAGTCCAGAAACGTAGCAAAGATGAGTGGGGCAGTTCACAGAACTGGCAGATCCTTCTCAACTGTACTGAATCAATGAGCCAATGAAACTGACTTGGAAGCATTCAAGTTGTCACAATGGGCTGAGTTAATCCAGCTGCAGGCCTAATACACATGTGCATATGCAAACAAAACCAGCTTGTTAATTTTTTTAGTGGAGTGTTTGAAACTTCTTTGACATTAATATATCCATCTAGAAGAACCTGGTTTCAAATGAGAAAATGCTAGTTTTGACATAAAATCCAGGCTTTCAAGACCTAAAAACTGCATAATTTAGACTGCCCCTTCAAGGTCTGCTGTCCTGTTTGGATTTTGCCGGGGGTGGGGGTATACAGGAAGATAGAACAATTGCAGCAACAGCAGAGCCTTTACTACTGCAGTCCCAAGATTACAGAACAGAGATGAGCAAATTGACCTCCCTTACATATTGCTGAAGGAAAACAGCATTTCAGACAGCCTTCCAAATCATGAAGGATGATCAGAACTGTATTTCAACATCAGCAGGCAAGATATTCCCTGCTCTCACTATAAAACAGCATTATAGCAGAAAGTTGACAAATACACATCCTTCTTCCCTTGAAAACAAGCGCAGGACATAGCAGCTATGTTACAAGTTTTAGAATTGCTAACTTGCCTTTTGATTATTTAACTTGTAATCTAAATATATATTCTTTAGCTATAAAGTTCCACTATCTTATCCATAACCAAATGGAGAGATGTTTTAAATAACACACCTATTAGAAGTACTCCTACTCAGTAGAATGGAACTTATTTCTGCTTAAGTATCATTAGAACTGCATATGAACACTCCACACTATTACAGGTAGTCCTTGATTTACGACCATTCATTTAACAACCGTTCAAAGTTACAACACACTGAAAAAAGTGACTCACAACTGGTCCTCACACTTACGACCATCGCAGCATCCCCACGGTCATGTGATCAAAATTCGGGCACTTAGCAACTGGCACGTATTTACGACAGTTGCAGCGTCCCGGGGCCACGTGATTGCCATTTGCAACCTTCCCAGGGGGCTTCTGACAAGCAAAATCAATCGGAGAAACTGGATTCGCTTAACAATCACAGCAAAAAAGATCATAAAAGCAGGCACACCTTACTTATCAACCACATCACTTAGTGATGGAAGTTCTGGCCCCAATTGTGGTCATAAGTTTAGGGCTACCTGTATTGATAAATTGCTTTTACTCAATTTGACTGAGATAGTTTTGGAGCTGACATTTTGATCAGCTAGCTCTTTAATCACCTGTTCTCCATCCTAGCAAAGGAAGAACAGCTAGAGAACAACATACAAGATAAGCAACATTTCTTTTTCTTTCCATATAAAAGAAAGAACATACACTGTTTACATTTCCTGTGAAGTTCCAGTTACTTTATTCAAGCATATATTTGGATGATAGTCTCCATCTCCCACAATAGAGGAGCTATATTTGGAATAAATACATCTGGGACAGAAGATAAAATGGACCTATCAGTATATCAGCAACTGCAATGATCGTACTGCCTAATTTTGGACTTGCATGTTACAGTGGTTGAAGAAAAGACAGCTTAAAACAAATAATAAAAATAATCATTCTACCGTTTGTTTCAGGCAGTTGTATGGAAAAAGGCGACCATGACTGATCTTAAAAAGCAAAACAAAATTAAATTTGGTTAGTCCTTCCCTCGGAGACCACCACAAAATCCCAGGATGGCAAGCCAGGCTGAGAAGTAAAGAAAAATCCTACAGCACGGTAGCCAAACAGTTCAACGCCATTGCCAAGAAAGCAACGCCACGGATGTGCCCGTGAAGTCACCAGAGGAGATCAAATGCAAGGAGACGTCGCTTTTAAGGACAGAATGAACAACCGTTCCGAGGCTGCTGGTCATAATGGGGCTGCATTCTGAGGGAATTTGATCAGAAGCAGGACGGGGGTAGTCAGAAGGCAGCAACCGAAAGAGCCGCTGCCTCTCCTGAACGGCTTCGTACGTTAAACTCTGGCAAAATAAATGTATAGGGATTAGGGATTAGAGAGAGAAGGAAACAGGTAACATTAAAAGGCCAGGGACTACCTTGACTGACAGGGGCTGACAGGGGGGGGAAAACTCCCAAACCAAATCTTGGTAAGTCATGTATTGATTCTCTTCGCATGGCAACTGCTTTTCAGGCCCGGCTGTCCCGTTTTGTTTCTGTCTTCACTGTTTTCAACCGCGTTTTGGATTTTGTCAGCCGCCCAGAGTCTGCTGGAGAGGGCGGCCCCAACAAATGTGAGGAAATAAATAAAGAAATATGCAATGTACGCTCTATCCTGTAACTCATATATTCTAATACATCCTTAAAAGGAAGGAAAAACCCCTTTATTTTTTTTTTAAAGATGAGTGGGGCAGTTCAC